ACCCAATAATCAACTGGAAAGAAAACCGTATGCTCCTCAAGGAAGGATCTAGATTAATAGTTCTGGACGCAGAGGCTCATCAACATGGGGCATCCCACCCTACATTCATGCTGACGAGTAAACAGTTCGCGAGACTAGCAAAAAAGCAAAAGAGTATGATATATCATGTAGTGTTGAAAAACAGTGAGGAACAAGAGAGAATAATTACGGGGGAAGGTCCCGAAGCGCATAAAAAAGAACAATTGATAGGTATGATGGAAGAATACAAAGACGTATTTCCCAAAGAGTTACCACATGGATTACCACCAAAACGATCCGTTGAAATGAGTATAGATTTGGAGAAAGATGCAAAACCCAAAATGGGTCCAATCTATAAACTCTCAAGAAAAGAACTTGAAGAAATGAAAAGACAGATTGAGGAGGCTCTATCCCTAGGATTTATCAGACCAAGCATAAGCCCTTGGGGAAGTCCAGTACTATTTACACCAAAAAAAGATGGAAGTCTCCGAATGTGTATTGATTACAGAGCACTGAACAAACAAACGATAAAAAATCAGGTTCCGTTACCAAGAATTGATGAAGTATGGGATCAAGTCGGTGGAGCTAAATACTTCTCGACGCTGGATCTTAGATCTGGATACCATCAAATAAGGCTGAAAGACTCAGACGTAGAGAAAACCGCTTTTAGGACGAGGTACGGACAATACGAATATTTGGTGACTCCATTCGGTTTAACGGGAGCACCAGGATGTTTTCAAACATTGATGAACAACATATTTCGACCATATTTAGATAAGTTCGTTCTCGTATATCTTGACGACATACTCGTGTACAGCAAGACACAAGAAGAACACATACAACAATTAAAGATAATACTAGACCTCTTGAGAGAAAACAAGCTGTATGGGAAGCTATCAAAGTGTGAATTTCTCTCCCAAAACATTGAATACCTAGGACACATCATTAGCAAAGACGGTATTAAAGTAAACCCAAAGAAAATTGAAGCAGTAAAGAACTGGGAAACACCCCAAAACATAACACATATACAAAGCTTTCTCGGACTTTGTAATTACTACAGAAGGTTTGTAAAAGACTTCGCAACAATTGCGACCCCTCTTTCAAACCTTACTCGAAAAAACAGTCCCTTCAAATGGGAAAAGCCGCAAGCGTTAGCTTTTCAGGAGCTAAAGAAGCGATTAACAGAAGCACCAGTACTAAGATGTGCAGATCCCAATCTACCATATCAACTAACTGCAGACGCATCCCAAACAGGTGTCGGAGCGGTACTGACCCAAACCGACGAATCCGGATGTCGTCCTGTAGCATACGCTTCTAGAAAACTAAATCCAGCAGAGCAAGGATACAGTACGCATGAGCGAAAGCTATTAGCTATCATCTATGCCCTACATACATGGAGACCATACTTACATGGTTCTAAATTCAAGATTATGACTGATCACCATCCGTTGAAATATCTGGATACACAGAAAACGTTATCCAGAAGACAAGCGAGATGGGTGGAATTCATGCAAGAATTCGACTATTCTATTGACTACATCAAAGGGAAATCAAACGTCGTAGCCGATGCACCATCTCGACAGTATAAAGAAGTACATCACGCATCATCAAATATAGTAAAACAGTTAATGGCATTCACAATGGTGAATGTAAGCCAAGAAACATTACGGAATTTACAACGAGACTATGAGAACGACGAATCGTTCAAAGAAAACTTCCAGGATCCTGTCGAGCCCTATACAAAAACGGGACAACGGTTGTATTTCGAAAGAAGGCTATGTATACCAAAGGGAGAACTCCGAAGGACCATATAACAAGATAACCATGAATCACTATTTGGTTCGCACAGAGGAAGTAATAAAACGGCTTCACTTATATCAAGGTATTACTTTTGGCCGACTATGAAGAAAGAGATACACAATTATGTGAAGAAATGCCTTAAATGCCAAGAAGCAAAGAGCTCAACTCAAAACCAACTTGGAAACCTAAGACCGTTTCCACCACCAACCAAGAAATGGGAGGTCATATCAATGGACTTCATATTCGACTTACCTAAATCAACAGAGGGTACAACCGCAATTATGGTAGTGGTAGATAAACTTACGAAAAGAACACACTTTATACCACTCAAATCGGACAACAGCGCTAATACCATAGCAGCAACGTTCTACAAAGAAATATATAAACACCATGGACTGCCGCGGAAAATAATTTCAGATCGAGACACGCGATTCACGGGGTCTTTCTGGATTGAACTTATGAAAATGCTTAAAGTTAAACTTAACTTTTCAACAGCATTTCATCCACAGACTGATGGACAGTCTGAAAGAGCATTTCGCACACTTCAGGAAATGCTTCGTTGCTATGTAAGCTACACTCAGAAAGACTGGGAAAAATACCTACCGAGTGTAGAATTTGCATACAACAACCACGTCAACGATACTACTCGCCAAACACCATTCTTTCTGGAGTACGGTCAACACCCGTTCGCAATATCTGATATAGTCCATTCGGATATAAGCAAAGATCTGCACTCAAGAAACACCTCTGCAGATCATTTCCTTCAGGAACTTCAAACCGCAACAAACCTGGCAAAAGAATCAATCAACCAAGCCAACGCAAGAAGCGCCGAGACAGTTAATCAACATCGAAAACAATTAAAGTTCGACATAGGCAACAAAGTTATGCTATCGACTAAGAATCTACCAATCAATCCAGGGAGAACAAAGAAGTTCCCTCCGAAATACATCGGACCTTTCACAGTACTAAAAGTTCTAGCAGACGGTACCGCATACCGATTAGAGCTACCTTTGCAATACTGCAATATTCATCCAACATTCCACATATCACTTTTGAAACCATACCAAGAAGACCCGAGCAGACAACAAGAACCAACCAAATTCAAAATCCATACAAGAGCAGACAAGAAACGGATAGAGGGAATAATCACTCATCGTATATCAAACGGACAAGTGCAGTTCCTTGTGCACTTCAAGAACACAAATCCAATTGACGACACATGGATGGACAAGAATGACCCTGCAATAACACAACAACTCATCCAAACGTACAACAACCACTTATTCGCGGACGAATAATCGTTTTGAAAGGGGAGGAGTTGTAAGGGTAGGGTCCCGCTCAGCGTCTGACAGTAATATTTACACTATAAACAAGAGCTGAGCGGGACGATGACGCACGGTACGTGACGTGTACAGTACAGTACACGTCCCTACAGTGCTCACCTCAACCGTAAGGTCGTCCTCTTCGCCAATAAATGGGGACTCTATACAAGAAAGAGTCCCCGAGGACGATCCGGTCGGCCTCAGCAGGATCCTAATGGGATCCCGCGGGCGAAGAGGACCACGACAAGACGAAGGAGGAGACAAGATATGGTCACAAGGGGCCGTTTAGTGGGGTTTTTATTATAAATATATGTTTTAAGTGTAGTCTAGGCTGATGTAGCAACCATATAGATTTCTATAAAGAGTCGGTTGCAAAACAACGGAGAGGAGGGGAGGCAGGCACAACACCCGATTAACAACCGGAGCCCCTCAACCGACTAAACCAGAGAGTCAAAAGAACCTTTGAGTCAACCTATTCACAAAACTACCGAATTTCCAAAAGTAAGTCAAAGTATTCAAAAACCTGCACACGTGTCCACCGCGCACTATAAAGTGCCGGTCGGATAGACACTAATGTCTATCTGACCAAGCATTATCAAAACATAGACATCCCGAAATTTTATCTCTTTTCAACTTTGATGTCGAGGTTTCCATTTTCTTTGGTAGTTTGACTCGCTCTAAAACATTTTGAAGGGATACCCGAATAGAAAGCACTCTAAGGAATGTCTCTATGCTACTGGTGAAAATTTGGTTTAAAGAAAAATGCTGTAAACTAACATTTTCTTTTGAACAGCTTCATGTGCGCCACCTAATTCGTTTTCGCTAAAATTGACGCGCGGGTTCGTTACCTGTGGTGATGAACTTCTAGTTGCAAAAACAGAACTTAAATCGCAGTTTGCGCTGTCCAGAAAAAAAATCAACCCTTGTCCGCATATGAGGACTAATGTTCCGATGAAGTACTTGTACAGTACATTACTCTAGTGGCAATAAATATCACGAACTTGTAACGGGGCTATAAAGTTAGCTCAAAAAAATGCTTACTGTGTCCAAACTTCACCCCTCCAAGCCTTACAGCATGCCCTTGTACGGACCTTACACTCTCTTACAGCGACCACTCCCCTTTGATCCCCTCCCACTCCTCGTTCGGAGCATCTACCGCACCTGCGCCCCGCCCCCACTCCGCCTTCCCCTCCCCCCGAATCCCCATTCCCCCGCGTCCGCCGCCCTCGCTCCCTCGCCCCCGCGCCGACAAGCATGGTCGTCCGCATCCGGCTCGCGCGGTGGGGCCAGCGCAACCGGCCGTTCTACCGGATCGTGGCCGCGGACGCTCGCGCGCGGCGCGACGGCCGCTTCCTGGAGGTGCTGGGCGCGTACAACCCGCTGGCGGCGTCCGCGCCGGAGGCCAAGCACCACATCAAGCGCGTCTGGCTCAACGTCGGGCGCATCAACCACTGGATCAGCGTGGGCGCCCAGCCGACCGACACGAGTACGTCTCTCTCGCGCGCGCCGCGCGCGCCGGCCGAGGGTTGAATTCCGCGACTGACTGGGGCGAGCCTGTGTCTGCGCGTATGACTGCGTGCGTGTGTGCGCGATGAATTGTTTTGTATTGTTTTGTTTTGTGCGTGCCGCGACGCGACAGTGGCGCGGCTACTCGGGACCGCCGGCGTGCTGCCCTTCAGCCCGCGCTCGCAGAGGGCGCGCGGCGACGCCGCCGCCGGCGCGGAGTAGCGCCGCGGCGTTTTACTTCGGTCCGCGTCGCCGCGCTGGCGGCTGCGCTATGCGATCCCTCGCGCGGCGTGCCCGTGCACAACCCGCAGATAGGTATGCGCAACAAAAAAAAAAAAAAAACCCAGCGCGCGTTTAGCGGCCGTATCCCCCGCCGTATCCCCCGCGTCCGGATCTGCCCCCACCACCGCCGCCGCCGCGTTGGCGGCCGCCAGCGCGCCCCCTCCCGCGCCCCCTCCCGCTGCGGTTTCGGTTCCTCTGCGCACGCAGACGCGCAAAAGCAAAGGTGGGCACGATGGTGTGTGAGGAAATTATGGACAGAACACAGGGTGAATGCGTGGGTGGAGGATGAGGGGATGAATGCAACGTACTGTAGCGTCGCGGGCGTGTTTCTCGTCGGCGACGGCGTCGAGGACGGCGTCGGGGACGCGGAGGTACTTGATGGTGTTGCCGCGGATGTACATCTCCGGGACGGACCAGAAGTGGTCGCCGTCCTTGGAGGTGCGGATAACGTCGTTGAGGTTGACGTTCATCCACTGGTCGATGTTGGAAAGGTGGCCGTTGTACGTGTCGCCGTTCTTGAGCTCGACCAGGATGGGGTAGCCCGTGGAGGACTTGAGCAAGGAGAGGGGGAGCTGAGATGCGGGTGGCGGGGGTTAGAGACGTGAGAGTGGGACGGCGGGGGCGGAGGTGGGTTGGGAACGAACCATTGTGGAGAGTGGGTGCGCCCGTGTGTTGTGCAGCAGATGGCGGGGCGAGCAGTGAGTGAGAGTGTGGCGGGGATGAGGTGGGGTGGGACGGAGGGAGGAGACGGAGGGAGCAGGGATGTGAAGGGATGTGAAGGGATGAGGGTTGGTTGTGCGGGAACGGAGGGAAAATTTAAAATAATTAAAACAAAGTTGAGGCTATAGTCAAACTTTTTCGGCATTTTAAACAGCATCAACTCTTGGGTGCACCGGTTGTACTGCCGCACCTGGATGCTCTTAAACTACTGCCTTCACAGAATCACTCCCACCCGGCATGTGAGGGCTTCCTCTACCCAAGGGTAACAAGAGGTCGAGCAGCAGGCCTTTTTGACACGTGAGCAAACGTGTCCTTGAGTGTGTGAAGTTCACACTGTGAACCAAGAGATCCGGATGCCGGGGTCCCCCTGACGCCAAGACCCCTGAACGCGGGGCGCCGCCGGCGCCGGTATATTTACCAACTCTATGTCCTATCGTACGCCTGTAAATAAGGCTATGCCTTATTTGATTGTTTGTGTGGAATCACAGAGTGGACTGAAACGTGTACTGGGGCAACCCTGACCCTAATGTATACCGAAGGGTAGTGCACATCGGTATGAGGAGTGGCATGGTATGTTGCCCTTACAGAAGAAGAGAAGACTAGAGGAAGAGAAGACTAGAAGAAGTCTACTACTACAGTAGTGTCTCTAGACTAGTGCAGAAGAGCCTGGCACGGAAAAGATATGCTGAACACAATGTACAGTAGCCAGTGAGTGCATTAAGGCGCGGTAAACAGTCCGTCGGGAATGACTTACACTCAGCAGAAAACTTTACTCATTTCATAGGGGCTGGTACACTGCCTGCCCCATTACAGTGATCATAAGGCCTGCTTTTTGCGCCTTGTGTGCACTGCGGTATATCCGGGGTCGCCCCTGTGGGCACAGTGTACCCACAGGGGCGACCCCGGATATATCATGCTGTACCCGGTACAGCATGATAGACGCAGCATTGCGATGCCTCGAGAACGGTCCAATCCAAGCGATGTATCACAATTCACTATTTGTCGCCTGTCGCAACTTCTACGCGTGAACAGAAATCTGACCTGCCGAGATTTTATGCTTTTACACAGATGTCTTCCTCACACGCCGGCCTCACGGGCAATATCGGCCTCACGCTCATTGCGCTTTCGTGACACGAATCACAATCCAACCACAACCCCATGTGATCAGTTTCTTACAATATGTCATTCACCTACACTGTACCCAAGGGTATCTAAACCATCTGATTGCCGCCATATTCCGTGCTGTCCATGCTGTCTTTGCTTCGACGCGTCCTTTTACTGCAGTACAATGGAAACAGACCTCATTTCCCCTTTCAAACGTTCACGACTCCCCGCTCACGCACACCAATTTGCACACCTTTTGTTGAACGAAACGCATAACTTTGCTCTTAACTTGTACTAGTACTGTGCAGTGCACAGCACGCTGTAGTTTTCATATTTTACACCCCTGCAGCAACCATACTGTATCAATGCAAACTCCAGTCCCATGCGCCCCACGGCGGCACGGGGTCAAATACCGTTTTCATACACGTCTTTTCTTCACCGTCCTCACGGATTCCCTTCACGCATGTGCAATCCATGCAATGTCCATCGAGCATCGACACCACGCCAAACTGCCTATTGCATTCGCTCATAGAACAGTAATATGTACACCCCAAAACGCCGCACCATCACATGACTCGACTACCTTTTCTTTTACAGTACATATTCGTCCATACCCCTGTACAGCACAATACATATACTCGCTGCTAGCATACACACAGTCCGTGCACTATGAATGGTTCCCGACAACTTTATCCATCACCACTCGTTCATTCCCAGCAATAACCAGTAACAGCCACGCGCTGTCGCCACGCCGCCACCCCATCCGCGCAAATCCTCCTCTCACCTTGCCAACACCTTTGTCGCCCAATGACCCATCCCTTTCACACTGTACGACCGCCATCTACCACACATACCTGCTCTTGCTCTTCCCTCATTACTCCTTCCCGCGGAAAGAACCATCGCATAACCCCTATAAATTTACCTACCAAACTCCTCCCCAACGATGCCCATCTTATGCGAAGCGACGAGAAAGTCTATCACCAATGGACCCACTATCCCATTCCGTAGCCGTGGCCTTGCCGACTACTCCACTGCCCCGTCTGCGACAGAATCACCTCTTGCATCCCGACCCCGCCCCGAACCGCCTCGTACACCCGTCCTCATCTCACCCACCCCGTCCTCTGCCATGCCGCAGCACGCTGGCCCAGCCGAGAAGGTAAACATCCCCTTTGACTAAAACAAAGACATTGCCCGAAACAAAGGCATTGCCCAAAACAAAGACCAAACGCAAACCGCACCTCCCACAATCTTTTTTTAAAAACGCCCTAGAAACTCCGCACCCCCTCCCGCTCAATGTCCTCGGCACTCTTCCGCCCTATCTCGCTAACTCGGCTTACTATCTCAACGGCCCTGGCTTATTTAACGTTAAGCACAAGGATGGCAAGGAGTTTGAAGCGGAGCATTGGTTTGATGGATTGAGCATGATCCACGCTTTTCGGTTTGATGCCGCGAGTAATGGCGTCACCTATCAAAGTAGGTTCACTAGCGATGCCACTGAGCGTGCAATACAGTCTGTCCCGAAGGACCGATACAGGGCAATTCATATTTCAATGCGACAGCGCCCGAAGAGTGCGTTTGGTCGTCTGATGCACGCATTGGGGCCACTGACGAGAGATCCCAAGCTTGGTGGTGTGCCGTCCAACACGAGTGTCACCCTGGAAAAGCTGCCGACGAGGGGCATTCTCAATGCGCGCATGGATGCAAATGTCATTCACAAATTGGATCCGGAAACGCTGCGCGTTACCGATAGGTACGACTTTTCCTACTTCAGTCCCGAGTTGCCCAAAAGCATGTGCCTGTCGCATGGCGTTCTGGATGAGGACGCTGGTGAGTACTTCAACTTCATGGCCAACTACAGACCGATCAAGACAGAGTATAAAGTGTTTCGCATCGATTCATCTGGGAAGGTAGACATCTTGGCGAAACTCAAAGATTTCACGTACTACATGCATAGTTTTGCGCTCACAAAGAAGTACATGATCATGGTCATGTGTCCAGCTCAGATTAGTCTTTTCTCTCTGTTGCGGGGAAAGTCTTTCATTGACGCTTGTGAGATGAGGCCAAACACGCCGACCAGGTTTGTCGTGATCAGTCGGCAGTCTGGCGGTATCGTCGCCGAGCACGAGCACAAGCAATTCTTCACATTCCATAATTATTACGCGTTTGAGCAGGACGGCCATATCATGATTGATCTGTCCTTGTTCAACGATTGCAAAATTCTGCAAGACCTTCGAATAGAAAATATAGCGCGGGGAGGCGACATAGCCCACGCCATACCCGTGCGATTCACACTCCCCAACATAGCTGATGACGGCGCCCGATACTCGACCTCTATGCCAAAGGCATCATCTCGGGTGCTGATGGATATAGCCTTGGAGTTCGCTACAGTCTCGCCAAGAATACGGGAAGGAGCATACCAATATGTGTATGGTCTTTCCAATAACGGCGGGAAGCAGTTTAACGGTAGTATTGAAAAAGTGGATGTAGACACCGGAATCGTCAAGTCTTATGTTGCACCGCAACAGACTTTGGGAGAACCCATTTTTGTCCCAGACCCGAATAGTATTGAAGAGGATGCAGGCTGTCTTGTCGTGCTGGCATTGGACAACCTGAAGGATAACGCTGCCTTACTCGTTCTGGATGCTCGCACTATGACTGAGGTCGCACGCGCTGAGCTGCCCATGCGGTTACCGCCAAGCTTCCATGGAACGTTTCACACATGATGTGCCGATGATGGGTCTGTTCAGAACTCAGAGATAACTTTGCGCCAGTGACTGCATTTGTCCCAGTTGAGATCGATCTCAATTGCCCTGAGACCGGTCTAAGCCAGAGCCTGTCCTCTGTCCAACCTCGACCTGCACATTTGGTAGATGCTTGTATCGTGCCCGAATCTGAGCTTTCTCTGCAGTAAAATCAATACTTTATGTATAAAACAACGACAGCAATGATCACAGCAATCAGAAGTACCGGCAGGTCATGGAAACGGATTGGCCCTTCGCTGCGTCGCGCACGTGACGCTGGGTTTCTTGAGATCAACCAATCACAAATTCAGCGGTACAGTATAAGACCTCCGCACGTCCAACCTCCATGTGAGTGTTTCCAGTGGCCCGCCCCCCCCCCCACTGCTCATGCCTTTGCAAGCTTAGCCTTGAAGTTCTGCTTACAACGATCAAACCTTGTACTTCAGAACCTGGGCCATATACATGGTGTGTCATAGCTGCGTCCTGACCTTCTTCATTCGTTCCAGCAACGTAGAAGAAGGAGGTGCACACGGGCCTGCACTATGAAACGCAACGCTAGTTCTGATGTTGGAAACAGTTTATCAAAGATGTGCAGAATCCGTGAGGGTTGAAGGCCACATCTGCGGGGGATGAAACACTTGCCTCTCCTTGTTCTCTACGCTCAGGCAGATCGCATGCCCAATGGCATTCTAAAACCTACCAGGCTTGTACAATAGAACAATAACGAGGCAAATATTCATCAATTTTATTTTAGTGTCAAGACGACATGCGACCTCACATGAGGCAAGTTTTCAATACAGGGGGTCCCACGATATAGTGCTATACCAGAACAGACCTCGACATATGGCACTATTGGGTGAATGGCACTATATAAAGCGCCCAAACACAATCATTTACAGACAGCACAAGCATTCGAAACCATCGGCCTTTAGTATGAGTCGTGTGTATAGGGAACAACGCAGAGCTCATTTTATTTCATTTCTTGGACAAAAAGTCTTTAATAACAGCCCGCTTAGCTGCATTTTTGGATGTCTCTCTTGTGGCTATGAAAGCCTTCTTCGCCTTACGTATATGCAAAGAGC